TTAAACCATTCAGCTCTCAAAATGCAACATTATCAAAATAACCTGGAAAACATCTTAAAAATACTTAATAGTGCAAACTGAAACTCGTTGCCTGAATTGTTCCTCATACACCACAAATTGACTTGTTTCAGTAAGATGATACAAATTAATTCTTTTTAAATTTAATTTTAATAAACTTAGCACAAGTATTGGGAAAAGATATTAATAATACTTAACTAAGGTCTATTTGAGCGATGTGATTATCCTAGTTTTCTTTGACGCTTCAGTATTTGTAAGACTGAATAGTGTTCACACTGCAATCCTGTGTGCATGCATTGTTAGATATGAAAACAACACTCGGTTGAGTAAAATACAGAGACCGAAAACATAATTTTACGATACATTACACAGTGATACAACATGATCATCTTCCTATGTTGTCAGTCGGTTAGTGATAATTATATACTTTATAATGAATGAATTCAAAATACATTTTTCTAAGTTTTAGTGGGACTGAGTAACCTGTGTAGTCATTCTTGTGTGATATACAATCACTGATGATATCAAATAACGATTATGCCATATAGTGAGCCAGGTGAAGGTAAAATTGTGAACCATTAATTTGTAACTCAGTCGTTCGGTCTTGTTATGTGACCAGAGAGCTTTGGAATTTATGTTTTATGAGGCCACGATAATGGAAGAAACAGCTGTCATATATTTCGAGGTTTTCGTCGGTTTTCAATCTAATAGATATCTGTTACTTTGATCACCTTTGAAGTTTGTATTTTTTAATCATTCATCTCAAACTGATATTACCAATATAGATTGAACCTAACCTTATATTATTGGTGACATTTGTATTACTATACACGTGGTCAACTCTAAGAGTTACATTCTCTCGGTACAGCATTAAAAACACCCATCCTTAAACTAATCACTTGTTAATACCTGAATACTATTGATTCTTAAACGTTTCATGACATTTTGTATATGCTGAAGGACACGCTTATCATAAACTGGTCTCCCGATTTTGAAGGTTTTCCAAATGATACTTAATAAATATTGGAGATAATCCAAATACAAGCAATACTATCTAAATAAATACTGATAATTTTATCTTGCCAACTTCAGTCAAACGTTTTAAAAGAAAAAAAATCTCTGTCACTTATGTTCCCCAGTTTAAGAACTCACTGGGTCAAGAAAGTTGATGGAAAAAGTTTTAAAACCTCTCTGACATGAATAAAGTTTCATTTTACGCAAATTACATGCTTCCTAGACCTATTTTCATAAAATAATGTGAGTGTTTTGTAGGATCCTTCGTCGAGAACAGTTTTACATAGAATTTATGGAAGACATTTTAATCAACGTATATAGAGACTGAGTGGTTTAAATCAGCAATATTCTTTAGCTGAGTTAGACCTGATAATTTAGTTGCCGTTGATGAAAAACTCGTTATTCGACAGTCAGTAGAAAATCCAAAGACAAGAGTACATACAGAAATAAAATTCTCTAACTCCAAGGTAGCTTCTATTTATTGTATAATGATTTGATTACTCGATCCCCATTAATTTTTTTCATAGATTAGAATTCAATCAAAATCGTTTTATAATTGACTAATTGATTACTTTTTACCAATGAATTTTACTGAACAGCCTTAGTCTACTATTATTAAATCAAAATGGCTAAGTCTGTTTACTCCTGACTAATGATAGTATAATTTGAAGACTTTATTATCATATTGAAGCTGAAAATGTTTTCAGTTGACTGCAGGTTGTGAGTATTCTACGACTTAGAAAATAATTCTAGTTGTATGGTGTTAGGAGCTTAATTTAATTTAAAATAGTTCTTGTCATAGGATAACACCTACTGCCCTATGGAGCACCTGGAACCACCGAATGCCGTTTTGTCTTAGTTTGGAACTATTAATCACTTTTCAAATACTATCTGTTACCAGATTAAACACAGAACCTTCAGCTGTTATGGTGAGTGTACCACATTTATATTACTATATTAAAGTCAAAAGGTTCACATTTTCGACATCAGTCAGTTTGAAATATAACTCAAATGTCATTCAAACTTATGGGTGATTAACTGCACTACTTGTTGACTCACTTGAACACCGTTAGTCATGAATTCACACTACGACTTAAAGAGTCAGTCTTCACGCTTTTCGACGATGAGCATGTGATTATTGTTTAGTTAGTCTGTTTGTGATATTTGTTTTGATGTGAAAATACTTTTTGTCAGAGTTTGGTACTCCTTAATAGTGTACATATATGCTTTATGTATTTTACGACCGACAATAAATATTTTTAAACAGAGAGAAGTTTTGTGGATATTATAGTAATTTAACGGTTGAATTCATGATTCGATTGAAGCTAGACCACCATGAAAAACCTGGAAGCACTGGACGGTCGTTTCGTCCTAGTATGGGACTCCTCAGGAGTGAGCATTCACGATTCCGTTGTATGCCGGCTCAGTAGTATAGAGGGTAAGCACTCGCGCACAAAATTGATAGGTCCTGGGCTCGAACCTCACGAGGTGGGATCGTGGATACGCACTGCTTAGGGGTCCCGTACTAGGACGAAACGACCATCCAGTGCTTCCAGGTTTTCTGTGGTGGTCTAGCTTCAATTGACTCATGAATTCAAACATTAAATAAATATTTTGTCGATAAAGGTTCAACCAACTCACATAAACGACTGAATAATCCAACCTTTCAACTCCTCTTTATCAATTTTTAAATTATTATCAATATCGATTTTATGGAACAATTTTCCTAATTGTGATTTTGCTTCTTCTGGATCTAATTCTTTAAATCTTTGTGAATATTCATGTGAACCAGTAACTAGATCGTGGTCATATTCACTGTAATGTTGTCCAAAATCATCATAATGTTCATGACCTTGATAATTAGAGTCATCTAACATATGAAGATCAGGTTCATCTGGACGTAAATAGTTATCGAATTTCACATTGATATTTTCAAAATCACTTAAACAAGAGACTATTTGAAGTATACTAAATAGGTAGTTTAGGGATAACATTTTGAACTTTTTGTTTTGGGCAGTAATAATATGTTGACAACAATGGCAAAAAAACAGTTTTAATTAATGTAATATGTGAAATTTAAGCTCAATAATTGGTTATTTTGTGCCAAATTTATTTCTCTACCTTTTAAATACTTTAATAATAATACGGGTACCTTCATTTGAAATTTAAACGTTACGTTTAATTAAACGTGTTCTTACTGCATTGGTTAGTAAATATTGAAAAAATCGTTAATCTATAATTCTTGACATTAGAAACAGTTGCTAAGCCAACAAATTCATTTTCTTGTTGTATTGTCCAGGTTCCGAGCGTTCACTTGTCATTGAACTGAGGTAGTTTAGAATTTGTAGCTTCCCAATGGAACAGTAAAGTAACAAGCAGTTCACTTTTCTGTAACGAATCAAGAAGATTGCATTATTATCGAGATCAGTTTCATGTAGGCGACTGTCTAGTGGTTTTAACTGCACACTTTTCGACAGACATTCTGTTCACTGGATACTGTGTATGGTAGAATTCTTCTATTTCACGGATGCCCGCAAGGACTTTTAAGATCAAAGATACTTTGGTAATGATGAAATGTGTAAATATAGTACCTAATAGGTACACTAACCCATTCTGATTTCATGAAAATAAAAAGCATTAAATGTAGCTGGATACTATCGTTGAAGGTATGCTACATACTTCTATAGATGTTTATATACGGTTGACTGGTTGCTTACTAATTAAACGAAATAAATTTTAACGATCAGGTAACAAGTTCAAACTGTAATCCACATAAATCAGTTTTAACAGCCAAATTTTATCATAATTCCTCAGACATGAAGTGCGTGGCTCACAACCAGTAATACAAAGGAAGATGTGGTTGCTAAGTTATATATGTTCAGTAGTAGTTAGATTGTGTAAAAAACCTTACAGATTATCAAAAAATTTATGATTTAAAATTATCATCACTCAATGTCATTACTGGGTTTCTTAAAAATATGAATAGAAACCTACAGTTAAGTAACAATGTAAAGTAATAAATGCACATTGCAAATATACCAATTGCTTCCTTGGAACATTGCTTTCATAGCTTGTTCTTGGCGAAATTGATGTAATAACAACCGACTGATCATACTGAGCATCAGGAAAAGAAAGCAAATAACACTTGGTACTTGAGAAGTTTCCTGTCAATATCATTAAGTAGTAGTAATAAGAGAGGACCAGACACCTAACATCTGATAGTAAAGAATTTCTATCTCACCCAAAATATGAAATTATTGGCATTGATACCTAAAGACTCTCGATATAGATTTTTAACCGAATTAAATCAAAATCAAAAAAAGAAATCCATGATATCCGTTGACTGATCCGACAAAAGAACAAACGATCCAATAATGTTATTTATACCACGTAAAAATAAGAATCTAAAGTTGAAAAACTCTCGCTTTACTTATCAACATCCCAAAATGTTGATATTCGATTCGAGCAATTGAAAGTAAAAATATTTTCTGCATAATAATGACCAGATGATATGGTAGATGTACTTTTGAATAAGGTAAATTAATAAAAACAATAACTGCATACATGAACAAAAATTGTATTTAAGAAAAACATATAATGTGGTGTGTCCCACAGATGTAATCAGATATAAGTAGTATGTATCATCACTCGAACGCGAAATGTCTGTGGGTAGAAGGTTTAGAAGATCGAAGAGAATAGAATGAAAACAGAGAGTAATTGGTGTATATATAAATATATAGTGAAGCGTGCACTTGGCTTCATGCTGGAGTGCATCTAGCCTGACTTAGTGGTATTTATCTTAGGCTTCAGCGGTTACTATCTGAGAAGTTTTAGAGCTAGAAAAACCAGCTAACTAGTGCGTCTTCGTTTCTTAGTGATTTTCACGTTGTTGTTAATCCCTGATGCAAGTACTGTAGAACTGTACAGTACCACAGTATAAAAGTCATAATAATTATGCGAATATTTCAGATTTTGAAGAAAATACAGTAATAATATTTGCTCACAAATTTTTCTCAGTGATTAATTATTTAAAAACATTCAGTCTTCACAGCAAGATATCAGTGTTAATTTGTTCGCTTGATTATTGTCTTGAAAGTAGGTACAATAGATATGGATTGGGAGATCTACATACGGTCATAGATGCACACAGTCGAAAAATAATAGAGCATCAATTACGATTGTTTCTTTGATAAGAAACTTTGAAGTAGTTCTATGGGTAACGGAAATACAATTGTTGAATTTTGTTCTGTTGCGATCGTGGCCAATGTTTGTAAATAACGTAATTGTAAGGCAGTTGGTGATCTAGCCATTTCTTCAGCAGCTTTTCTTAATGTCGACGATGCTTCTAATTCACCTTGTGCTGCTATCACTTTAGCTTTAGAAGCTCTAACAGCTTGTGCTTCTGCCGCCATGGCTCGTTGCATTTCTTGAGGCAATGAAACGTCTTTAATTTCAACTCGTTCCACCTACAGTTATTAAAAATATTAACGGACAGTAACAAATAAACAAACGACACATGATGTTAAGTGAAGAGTTAAAATCTATGGCATTGAAATTCATGTTACATTTTACACGGAATCATTAGCTATCAAAATTTTATAATCATTATTTAACACTAACAGATCATTTGGCAATAACTTGTGCCATGCTTGTCTAGCCCTTCAACTTGGAATTAATTTTATTGATTGATATATTTTCCAGGTTTTCTCCAGTCTAAATGACCCCACATTTCTGAAGTTAGATGGATGGGAATGATTTGAAGGAATCACAATTCGTAATAAGTTGTGCGTTGGCTGTTATATATATATATATATATATATATATATATATATATATATATATATATGCTCCTCCAGAAATAAAATGAAATGATGTTTTATCTTGTCAGTTGAATAAACAGACTACCAGATTCGAACGTATATGTGAATACAAGTTGTATAAAATGCTTAATCTTGTCGGCAAAAGTCATCTTATATTTCAGTTTGTTTTCATATTTAATAAACCGATTAATTCCCTTACTTCCTTGATCACTAGATTGAACACGGAAAATTTGGTCAAGAGTCGCTACCAAATTTCAGCGTGATAAGTTTCTTACCCATACACTTATGGCACGAAACTGTCTAGGATTAATAATATCAGTATAAAAAGTCGATAGCTCATTCACGTAATTACCAGAATCATTGTACAAATAACGCACTATTCAACAATAAAACGAACGTTACTATGGCAATCTGAAATTGAGATCAATCAGCCAGATCAGAGAACACATCTTAAAACGATCTGATATGGTAATAAGACAGTTGTGGACCTACTTCTCTTTACATTTTAAAAGTCCGGTTAATCTGAAAGTGAACAAATAGTAGATAATTCAAACAGTAGCAAGAATTTAATTTAAACAAATAGAAAACTCATTTCCTTTATTATATAGTGGGACTCATTATGCTTTTAAGTTTTTTGAAGAATTTTGTACAGCTGGTTCTCCTGATAACTTTGACCAGGTGAAGAATGAACAATAACTGTAGAATTAAAAGGAAACAGTTATTCTATTTGAAGGCTATTTAGCAACAGTGAGGAAACTAAAGTCATTCGTGTTAACTCGTTTGATAAGATAATTCGGATTGGTATTAAATTTCAAATATTAATAAACCAAACAATAAATAAACAAGCAATGACTTGGCTTTTTTTTACCTTAATTCCCCATTCACCTGTAGCCTGGTCCAGTAAAATGGCCAGCTTGGAATCAATCTGGTCACGATTTGTCAATAATTGAGATAATTCATATGTTCCCAGTACTGAACGCAACGCAGTAACTGCCAGTAGTTCAGCTGATTTGGCTGCATTTTCAACTCTTAATAAAGCGGCAGCTGGTTCAATCACACGCATGAATACAACAGCATCTACACCGACAGTAACTGCATCACTTGTCAATATCTCTTGTGGTGGTATGTTCACAGTCTTCGTACGCAAATCTATGCGAATCATTTGATCTGCGCATGGCATGACAAACTGTAATCCAGCACCTAAAACATATTTTCCACCAGATCGTTTCAAACGACCAAAACGTAAAATAATAGCTCGTTCGTATGTTTTGACTGTACGAATTGCAAAAAATATTGTTATTGGAAATGTACAAATGAATAGGATAGTTATGAGAATGAACAGTATGACACCTCCTGCACCAATACCTTCCTCATCTGGTTCCCAACGTGGCTCACGATTCCTCTCATTTGATTGTTCAATATTCACAATCTCAACAGTCGATAATTCTCTAGATGCCATACAGACTATTTTATAGATACACTTTGAATCACATATGTCAGTTAGAGAGTAAGAACTAAGTGGTTATCTAAGGAAATGAAGTTATACTTCTACTTGATTGGTTGTATGCAACAGCAAATCATATTTTTTTAAACTTAAATAATTTCAGCAAATGAAATTCAAGAAACTGTTAGTGAGACTTGATTGTCATGACAATGCTGCTTATAATATGATTAATTAGTCCAATGGAAGTGAACTTTTTGCAACAAAAACAAATTTTGACAAATAGTTTATTGTTAAGTTTTATTTGAAGTTAAGCATCTAATACGGTCAATGTTTTAACAATGGGAGAACGACTTTAATGGCCTGGTATGAACAAAGATTTAATGAAGTGGACAAATTCTTGTGTAAGCTGACGAAAATCTTAAGTGGTCAGATGTGGGAAATATCGCTCACACTCTTTCACAACCCCTGACACTTTTCAACCACGCCCGGCTTGATTTGGTAGGATATTTAATATAATTAGTTGAATGATCATGTCTCGTGACGTGTGTGGACCGTTTCACCCAATGACCGCAAGCAGTACCAGTCAAAGATATTACTGTTGAAACAGTGTCCTGTGCCTTAATCAAACGATAGGTAGAAAAATTCGGCTACCCTCCAACCATTACTACAGACCAAGAACCCTGGTTTGAATTCAGACTTTTCCACTCTCTTACTAAATTCTTATTAATTACACGGTTCCGAAGGATAGCCTATCACACACAAGCTAACGGTTTGATAGAACGCTGACACCTGATAGTCTTACTTTCAGCTGAAAATATATTACAAAGAACTGACGCTCTTCCAATTATCTTTCTTGGAGTTGGAAACTCTGTAAAAGTCGATGCTAGATACATTGCAGCCGATCACATTTACAGAACAATATTCCTACTTTCTGAAGAATTCTTAGACCCTTCGTCTTTTTCAATGAATGTGGATCTAGACTGCTATATAAGCCGGCTTACAAACACAAAGGGTTTAGTTAAAGCTGCTGATGATTTTTACAGTCCACCTCACGATTCAGTATACATGTTTTCTTACTTCATGACCCATTACGTCGACCACTTCGAAGCTGCATGAGAATGACCCTAAACAATCATTTATCGTTTACTCAAATACTGTAAAACTGATATAAGCGGCGTTGAAGATAACATCAGCATCACACGGCTAAAAGCTATTAAATTAGAAGTCAACACCCTCTCATTCTACTTTCCCGCTTACCAATCGAACGACGCAATCGCCACAATTACGATGCGATCATGGATAGGTAATGGAACGTCCATTCATAATTCAATAGAATTACTTATAACAATTGCCCTGACAACACCTCTCTTATTGCATGTTATGTTCACAAGACCTTTTCTTCATTATTATTAATATTAATATTAACATCATTAGTAGTGATATTATTATTATTATTAACTCCATTAACCAACTTATATTCTATTATGCATTTCGTTCGTATCATTCATATTACTATTAGATTGATTATAATTTGACACCTTACTCCAAATCACTTCAATCTTTTGTGAATAATCTTTCCAGATTACAAATGACACATTCTCGAAGCGTTTTTCCAATGACAGAAGCAAAAGGTCATCACTTTCGACGTAACATTTTATTGTTCATTAGGATGCTCTGCTTTGGCCTTTGGGATACAAAGATATGAACTTGTAACTGTAGAGTGTGATGACGAAGTTATAGGAAAGTCTCCATTACAATATTCTTGTTTTTTAACAATATATTAGGATTTCTAGTCAGTTCAGTTTTTCTAAATTTAAGGTCACAGAAAAGGGTTTGAAATTGATGAGTTGAAGCTGTTATAACTAGGAATGACACCAGCATTACTTTACTCAAAGGAGATGGGGAATACTGTTGGTAGGTAAAAATTATTTTCACGATACACAGACGACAAGTCCAATAGCTCATTTCAATGTGATTTTAGTTCGGTTCAATTTTACTTCATAAGTCATTATCATTGTTCGAATGACACTGTCTGTCAAATAACTTAACTGATATGCTTAACAAAATTAGACTTATGCAGACTTCAATGAAAATGAGATGCTATATCCTACACTGACACGTTTGTTGTTTTCCTTGTTCGCTGATTCCATTTAACTGTAAAAATTATTCCGGTTATTTGAACGAATATTACTGGTAATATCAGTAGTATTATCATTAATAGTCGTTATGGTAGTGTTGGTTGTTGTAACAGTACTAACGTTGTTAGTTTTAATTATTGCAGTTGTGTTAGTAGTAGAGAGAACACCAATAGTAGTAGTAGTAGTGGTAGTAGTTGTTTCTTTGGTTGATGTATCAGTATTCGTAGTGTTGCTAGTAGTAACATTAGCAGTAATATTGTGGTGTGTGCTACTGATGTAGACAGACATAAGTAGTGTGTATCATCAATCAAAAGTGAAATGTCTGACGGCAGAAAATTGAGAAGATCTAGTTGAACAGAACAGAAAGGAGTTATTGTAACAAAAACAGGAATAGAGATGCGATGGATTTTATAAGAGACAACTGATTGATGATGTACAATTGAAGTACTTAATATACTGTTTTCATATTTTACAAAGACACTGTAATTTTGCATCCAAAAATAAGTTGGCTATCTGCATCATGTCTTCGTTCATTACAGTAGTAGCAGTGGTAGTGTGAATAGTTCTAGCAGTACAAAATTGAATAAAAAAGATGTTTGTTTGAAATAAGTGATCATTCAATATTTATCAAGGATATCAATTACATAAACAGTTAATACACATAGTGCATAAATTCATATGTCCAAAGCTAATGTATATATTTGGGCATGCGTGTTCAGATGTGTGTCGTAACATGAATAACGGGTACAATATTGACAGAAAATTTATCACATGACAAAATGTATTTCACGATCTTTGCGAAATCCATGTGATTATTATATAGATCTTCACCTTTCAAGTAGATATTGTAAAGGTTAGCAAGAAATTATTAAAATGAATGTGTTTTACGGTTTTCTTATTCGTTTGTTTGTTCACTTGGTTTTGTAGACAACCAATTATAGAATATTGTCTTTTGAGAATGTTGAGTGTTTGCTATTTTAAAGAAAAACAACAAATGGAATTGGAAATGTGAACCATCAGATGTGAACATAGTAGTGATCGAATTGTAGGTATTTATACGATTGTGTTTTTTGACTCAGATAACAACATGTAGGCTGAGATCATGAGTTTTGGTACAAACGACTTCCTCCGACAGCGTGTCCCGTTTGCAAATTCTCACCTATTATTTGACCCTGAGAAGGCAAGTGAGCATAGAAGAGTGATAGGTTTGCATTCACCCAATCTATCAAAGTAATATACATGATCCGAGGTCTTTGAAATGCTGGATTTAATACTCGGTAGGCTTGTGAGTGCCTACTTATCAAAATTACTATGTTAAAATGAAATGCATGTGATATTCATGTTAGTTTATCTCTATTTAATAAGAGTTTGTTTCCACGTAACAGTTACAAATCAAGAATTCCGTTCATTAGTTAACACACATATAAATTAAACTATATATTTCTAATGATCATGAGTGACTGATTAAGTTCTATGTAAATGTGGGTATGGTATTTAGAGTTAGACAGCAAAATGGGTTACAATAAATTTCTAAGCAACAATCCAAGGTTTAAGATAACAGTTAGTTATTGATAAATTTAATTTCATTTGACTCTGTTTGTACTAAGACGACAAAAAATGTTGAAATAACTTTGTTAATGAATTATATTTAATTGTTCATCTATCAGTTGTTTGAGATCACGTTGTCGAAAGTTGTTTAACATGGATCAATATTATTCACGTGTGAAATCTGATTTCTAAATATGGTCTGAGAATAGATTTTATGTGTTAGTTAGAAGTATTTGAATTATAATATAAACTAAGAATCCCAGAAATAATGCAATTGGATCAAAAAGTACTAGATAACCACAAACGAATGTACCGTATTTAGAATTCGAAATCAAGCATTCAACAAGTACAAAGGAATCATTAGTTCATTCAAACACCACATTTTATTATGCTGTTTAAAATTACTGTTTTGACATATTTGTGAATAGATCCCATCGTTGACTGGTGCCAGTTGTAGAAGATATGGAAACTGCTGAAACTTAAATACTTGTTTCATATAAGGTGACAAACAAGAAGCAATATGCAGTCATAACACAGAAAGTGATTTAACCGCAAATATTCTAGATACCATTACAATTTCATAACTCCAATCTGTTCGTACTTTGCAGATGTCATGTTTTACAACACTGTCATCAACAGACTTACTCTCATATAGCTTAAAGGAAATGTATCACCCGGTCGAAAATTCTGTCGCGCATAATTTACTAATGATCAAGACTCTGAATTATGTAATTGTTTCGAGTGAGATAATTAACAACCAGTTCCATATAGTGAGAAAGTGCTCATTCATTCATCCTTTGTGTTTGATATGGTTGTTCAGAAAAACGATTGAAATTTGTTGTCTTTAATTGTCTACTACAACTTATACTTTATAAAAGTAGTAAACATGAAGGCAAGGTACACAAATTAAACGCTACCAATAACTTTACCACACCTAAACGTGGTTGGTTTAAATATTTAGCCCTGTTTCTTCATACTATTTAGACTTGTGTTAAGTAATTCCGTTCATTCATTTATTTGTTTATTACTGAGAAGAAGTCAGTCAGAAGACATCGGAAATTCAAGCTTCGAATCGTCAAGATATCACAAATATATTTTACTACAATTAGAATTGATGACAATCAACTAAAATCACTATCTCCCATAGTTCCAAAGAAAGTTTTATTCTTGAACATCCAGTTCAAGGAATATAGGGCAGATATTAAGGAACAGACTGTGAAGATCCTTGAAAAAGGCTTTTTAGTCTGCAGAGTTCCGAACTGTTTCGTCCAGCAAGAAACTCATTCAGGAAAGTTTTAAGGATCAACCGTCGCCTTTAGCCACCTCAATATTAACCTACCAGTTTACTTACTCCTGTGGAGCAGGTTACAATTACC